ACGTGGCCATGTGCGTGTACAAATTTGACTTCTGAAGTTGTGACACCTGAAGGAAAAGGTTTTGAAGGTCACTAGGGTTTGCAGTGTGCGAGTAAATACCATTAACGTTTTCCCCCATTGTGACAGACAGAAAACCAGCACTTGAGCCTAGAATCAGAGTGATTGAATTCCTTCCAATGCTTTCCTGCTGGCTGGCTCCAGGCAGCTCCCTGCTTACCCCCCAGTTTATCCCCTCTGAATTCTCTGGGGCCTTTAGAAAGGCCTGTTTGCACTGAACGAGTACCAGCACCGGGCGAGAACTCTGGCTGTTGCCTACAGCATGTGAAAACTCCCTGCTCCCACCATCACTTCTAGCAGAGCTAAACCCAGTGCCTGCAGCAAGAACCTGGGAGGCCGAGGGAGAGTGCTACCAGACTAAGAAATGTCCTGGCATAGGGCATGGAACGATCATTTGCTGATGCCGTCAGACTCATTCTTCCACTGCACCAAGAGAATTTCCTAAGGGCCACTAAACATTTTTTGTGCAACAATATAAAAACGGACCCAAGGAACTTTTTCCTTTCCGAGTGTTCAATGTGACTTTCAGATACCTTGGTGTGGGCATGCCTGCATCTTCATCAGGGGCTATGGCCCTGCCACCATCCTGCCAGCAAAGCAAAGCTGCATCAAAAGCCACCTGCCACCGCAGCCTGGCCTCGTCCCCCACATAAGGAGCGGTCTCTTGCAAGTCTTCCCAGGCCACAGGCACTGGTTTGGGCGTAGCACAACCCTGACACTGGTCAGCTTCCAGATTCACACCAAGTCTCTTGGTGGCAAAGTGGTGCCCACTGCTTCGTGTGGCTTCCTCACGCTTTGCAGGAGCCTCAGTGCCTCCATTACAACAGGGGAGGGAGAGGAGGAGGAGGGGAGGAGGGGGACAGTGGTTCCCAGCAGGGCACAACACTTACACGACATCCTGAGTAGGTGTACAGCTCGTTCAGCCCTCTGGAGAAAACTGTACCTGGCATCCACACCTGCCCAGGGTTAGAGCATGGGAAGTCTCTGCATGCAGAGACAAATATCTGCAGTCAAAATATCCCAAAGCCAACTCCCAGCCAGCTGTGTTATAGAACATCCATCATCGCCTTTGGAAGTACAGAAAGGGGCGCCACAGTAAGCTGGAGTCCTTAATATTCATGAACGCAAAGAAACAGACTTCCTCAAGTTGTAAGGCCTTTTAAATTAGTTTTATAACCACATATACACTTAAAAAGAAAAGGTAACCCTTGTTGTATCACATTGATAAAGCAGCGTGCGCACAAAGTGCGTTACAGAAGCGGTGCGGCACACGTCCTGCTTGGAAGCGCTGGTGCCTGCTGCTGCTGGTGACTAAGGCGCTCTCATGCACTCGTGCAGGGATTCACTCACCAGGAGCCGTGGCTATATTTGGAAGTTCAACACATTGGGCAGAGAGGCAGCCTGAGCTGCTGCGCGCTCTCACCTGAATACACCCGGGCAAATACAGGCAAGGTATTTTTTACTGTAAATAAACAGTAAATAACTGTAATATCCAATAATTTGTCAGATTAATTAAGATTAGCAGTAGAATTTTGCCACTTCAAACATACTGTGGTTCACTAAGGAATTCCCTTCATGAGGCCCTTTGGTAAAGTGTCTTTGTGGGTAAATTCTTAGAGAATAATTTTAAAAAATCAGAAAAGAAATGGGCTACAGAATCAAATTTGAGACATTCAATGTATTCATTTTTTCTGTTAACCCTATCCATTACCTAGTGTTGTTCTCATTGCACTAGAAAAATCAAAGGAGCACCCAAAGCTGCTGCTGTCGGCTGGTACCTCCGCGTACCAGATGCCTATGAAGACTTCCAACGTACCGGGGCGGTGCTCAGCTGTCTCAGGATGAGGCCTTTAGCAACCTTAGATGGCAGAGAGAGGGACTATCACAAAGGACTGAGGATTTCTGTCCTCAGACTGACCTGATACTCTTCCACTGAGATCCTCAGACTCCTAGAGCTTGCAGCAATGACTTGAGCTGGAAAAAATCCTTTCCAGAGCTGACTTTTGAGAGATGTGGGTTTCTGCACCCACAGTAGTATACAAAGGAAATAAAAGCATGAGAGATGGCTATGGAAATGAACATTAATGGTTACTATTGCATAATTTAGCTTCAGTTAGAATGAACAAGACAACGACAATTATACATCAAAAATTAGCTTTTATTACAAATGTTTAGTAATAAGTAATGATTTTTCAAAAATTTTTTTACTTACTAAATCTAAACGTACAAAGTCAGAAGCAAACAAGAAATTGCTTGATTAAAATCTTACTGAAGGTTAACTTGTCAGTAGTTCTATCAGGTTTCCTGCAAGGCTTGCTTTGAAAATGTCTTATTTTATTGTACTATCAGCTTTCCTTTACAGAGATGCTCATCCTCCAGTAGAGATGTGTAGTCATCAACATGGATGATTTGATTCATTTAGATAAACAGAAGAAATAAAAAATAAGTTGTCTCCATCTCTCAGTATAAAATCTATTTCTATACGTTACGCTTGCACATAATTTAAAGCCCGATACACTGGCTTCTGAAGCCAAAGGCAGCTCTCACACTGACTGCAGTGTGCACCGTATCAGAAGGGCAACAATACTAATTTCATACTAATTGGCCAAGTATTCTTTGGTCACAAATGTCCTGTATCTACCCAGTTTACAGGATCTCAGAAACTATTTTTCACCCATTTTAAGTAGCTTGTTTACATTTGTATTTTATTCCATGGCTTTCAGGTTTTTCTCCTGCATCTATAATCCATACCTGTGTGCGTGCATGTGCACAAGATTTATTCGAGTTGTTTCTGTGCAGGCAGATCAGGAGTGAGGAAAGGATGTCCTTCATCTTCTGATACCTTTCAGATGTCAGACTGCAACAGCTCTAGTCTAAATCAGCCTTTTACTGGAGCTGCCAGGATAGGCAATTCGTATTTAGTGCACTGCCTTAGTAAAGTTTTCAGAATATACAAAATATGAAAATTGTGATCTTTTTATTACAATGTCTATTACACTGTAAAGCCACATTATTCAAAATCAAAGCCTTCTTTTTGATGGGAAAAATTGAAGAGTATAAGGGGAAAGATAGCTGCTAATGATGCAAGCAAGAGCGTCTGGACAATGACACTTTGCTTAAAAGGCACACCAAGAAAAGGCAAGCTAGGTTCCTCTCCTGATGGTTGAATCTGTTTTATATTTTTTCTTATGTATATAGATATGCATATATATGTGTGTATACCTACACAAATATATGTACGCACACACACCTTTGAGTTTTTGAGACCAGAAAATTCAAGAATTAGAAATTAATTTTAAATAAATAAGAACCACACTAATAGGGGGAGGTTGGTGCTGTTATTTTTTGCTGCATTATGATTATAATCTAATGACACCGTGATATGATTACACCATTTTTTACTTTACATCATTTCATTGTATAAATGTCAGGCATAAGACTACCGGTGCATTTATCTTGCCTAAAGTAATACTTATGGATCTTCTGTGTTCTTGCTTTCTCATAAGGGATGGTCATTACTTTAAGAAATATGAAGAGAGTTGAGGGTAAGGTTGTTCTGGCAATCACAATTAAAATTTATTTGACTCTAGGGTTACATGTCGGAGCGTGGCATGCACGCAAACACACAGACAGAATGACAATGACAACAGTGGCTGCACACAGCTCAAACCCAAGCACTGGTCCCAGCATGGCTGTAGTACACTGCTCTTATAAAAAACTTCTGTTTTCCTTTTGCATAAGCTTTATGATATAATGCACTGTTTCCAAAATCTGCACTGTTCCATCTAAATGGTCCACATATGATGACAGCAAATGTTAAGAGGTATGAGATGATTACTAACTTCCAGAAAACATTGAACAGAAGATGCCCGTACAGTAGTCACCATTAAAAGCTTAACAGCTGAAGGTTGAATGTAAAGATCTTTCCAGCTGTACTGTTTAAAGAAGTATGACTATCACAGTAAAGTTATTTACACAAAAGGCAACAATAGTAAAGATATCAACAGAGAACACAGTAGATTGTTCAGAAAGTGGATCACATTTTCCGCTAGGTCTGAAATATTTCTTGCAATGCTGTAAATTCTACCTACTAGATATCCCACAATATAAACCAGACAGAAGAACTTGTGAAAAGGTATTAAGAGCTTGGTCCTGCATTTCTGATTCCCCAAAATCTACCACAGAAGACCACGGGAATTTTGAATGTTTAGTGACTGCAGGACTAAACCCTCAGAGGACTGCAAAATGTTACTTCTTTTCAGTACTTATTACATATAAGTATTCAATTGATTTTCTTTGGCTTTTAAATTACTATCCCTTCGTATCTATAACGTGAAACCAAATCAAACCAAACGCAAACCACTAATAACTCCCCTCTCCCCTCAAAACAGTGATAAAAAAATTAAATGAACCAAAAAACATATCTAGAAAGTGTAGCTGTTACTCCATTATAAAACTACGGTGCAAAATAGAGGTTTATACTGGTCAGAATTGCAATAGCAATTGGAAATTTACACTGATGGAGGAATGCAAGCATTGCTTCTCCTCAATAACAGAAAAATCAAAACTGACTAGGCACTTGTTTCCTTGTTTAATGAGAGATCATTCAGTGTACGTAAAAATGATACAAATACTCTCTAAAAGAACGCTCTGTAGCCTAACAACTGTATTGCTCAATTATAGCCACGTTCCCTGGTTCAGGAGAGCAGAAAAACATGTGCCTATTACTTATTTTATGCTTAAATCCTACGAATGGGCTGGATACATGTTCAAGTGCTGTCCTGAATTGGGATGCTTGCTGAAATTGGAGTTTTGAAAGATAATATAGTGGCGAGCTTCTTTTCATTATACTACAATACCAATGTTATCTAATCTGGCTCCTCTCTCCACGATATTATCCTAGTACTTCCTAATAAAAAAGAAAACAGGCATAAAATAAATAGGATAACCAAAGAGTACATAATAAATATGCTACTAAGTGGGAGGAAAACATATTGCAACATAAGGCTCTGTAGTGTTGCACAATCAAGAAATCATTCCAGGTGCTCCCAACACACAACTCCTACTGTACAACACCAAGTTACCACTACAGACCTGGAAAAGATTGGGAAGTACAGGTTGAACTTCTATTACATTAGACGTTTGAAAATATAAAGAAGTGGTAATGTGTTTCGCTGCCTTTGCGGAACAGCGTGTGGATGTTCTTTCACTGCTCCAATTCTCATTGCTTGTGAAGGAAAATTCAAAAGATTGGTTTTTTGATAATTTTCATAATCGCATTCCTGCAGACTTACAAAGTTACCAGTGTCCACACTGACTCATAGTATTATCTCTGAAAGTGGAACAAACTCAGAAATTTTGTTGCCTCCGTTTCTTTGCATCCATCGCATCCAGAATAGGTTGCCTCTTTGCTGTGTACCTCTGACGAAGCTCCTCAATTTCTCGTTCCATCATAGGGTCCAAAGCCTTTAATCGCATCTGTAATTCTTCTAAACTCAGATTCTTTAACTGTAAAAAAACAACCACCAAACAAGCGAACAAAAAAAGAAAACAAAAAAAGATTAAAACCTATTTACAGCAAAAATGAAAGCCTCCACCTTTTGTAATCCTTTAATTTGCAGTTGCAGTGTGGGGTTTTTTTTTTTGTTCTTGGGGGTGTGTGTGTGTTGTTTTGTTGTTGTCCCCCCTGCTTTGAGTGTATGTATACACATATATAACTGTTTCTATAACCCAAAGCCTTAGTATGCTCCACAAGTAAATAATTTAACAGCATATGAAAATACAAGCACACACAGTACATTTATTTTAAAAAAAAGAAAATCACTTTGCAAATGTTGCAAATAGATTGCAAATAAACATAGGGCTGGAGTTTAACTCATTAGGCTGAAAACAAGCATGCCACAGTTTACACAATTATATTCACGTATATATGACTTAATCAAATACTACTTATTGAACTTCAGTCTCTTACAGAAGCCTGAAAAATAGATAGCTGCTGCAAGTAACAGTCTGCCAGATATTTAGAGCTACTTTCTGGTAAGAATGACAAGGTACCTGTCTGCCTCAACAGACTGCTGCCAGAACTAGTCAAAGCAAATTGCAAACAGAGGGTTTAAATAATACATGAAATAATTTCCAGAATTCATGGGAGGGAGTTACCTTTGACCAAGCTCTTCTCCTTCTAAAAATATTTTCTCACAACTGTTAAACAGTTCATTACATTGCATTCATTAAGAGTGATGGGTCATATAACAAGTAAATCGCTTCGCTGGCACGCTGGCCGCTGCAAATAAAAGCTAGAGTCTTGTCAGGTGCTGGGGCACGCCAGGCATTACTGCCCTGCCTGCTCTTGCAGGGGAGGATCCACATTGGAAATACGTTCCTTTGGCTGGCCAATGAATCATCTAGTGCCTCTCCGCATTTTCTCTCTTGTCGGAATTGCCTATGTGCCAATTACTCTTCAGCAAGTGTAAAAATATCAACAAATTTCAAATAGCACAACTAATTCCATCCTTGGAGAGTGATAATCTATATTTTGTTTGCAAATATTCTGACATTGCAAACAAGCACACCACCTAACTCGGGGCAAAAAAAAAAAAAAAAAAAAAAAAAAACATTTTCTGAATCATCCTACTAATGAGTCAATACTTCATTCACGAATCTAGGGCAGTCTTCCATCAACACAGTCTGATCTGTCTTCCCTGAGGAACGAAATACTACTTTTGATCTTTATTTTTATCAGCATCTGAGGTATATAAATTAGCAACACATATTGCTACATAGAGTCCAAACCCCAGCGTTATGACTTCTACTAACAGATGACATTGTACATAGTACATAAATAACTTAAAAGTCATAATAAAGAGGGAGTGCAGATCGGAAATTCATAGAAGAGCATATGCAAAAAGATGCACATTTTCACACAACATCATTTTAACAGTAAGATTCCTAATGAAGGTGAGAAAACCCAGATGTCAAAATATTTTCCAGGACCAAAGATCCTTAGACCTGTACGAGCTTCAGGGACTTCAGATCTGCTCAGTAGCTCGACAGTAAGGACAAATGAAGCCTTTAGTTTCTCAGGAAGGAAAGAGATGCCTCTCAAGTAATTAAATATCATCTAGTTTACTGTATTTTTCCCATTTAATATATGCAAGAAAGGATGGGGAAAAGGAATCGTAATTCTTCAGTCACCAAGACGTTTGCAGAAAAACACCTTCCCATTTACAGGGAAAGTAAAGATTTTAAAAAACAAACAAACAAACCCAAACCCATTCACTTTCATTTTTAGCCCATTGATAAATGTAACTGGCACAGGGCAGGCACCTTTCAGTGAAGATATTACTTTAGAGGCTGAAGTGTCAGAGAGCTCTGCAGTATAATGAGAAGAGACAGCAGTGCCAATTTCCCTGTTTAAGTGATCCCAAGGCAGCACAGATGGGAGAAGCAATAAACCCACATTTTTTAGCATGTGCAAGAGGAGAAACATATTTGGGGCTCCATGTACCAGCAAATGGACTAAGGAAGGCACCGTGAATAACCTCATGTGTGAGTGTCTTGTGAGAACGGTCACCGATGAAGTCTCCTACCTGCTCTGGGCCAGCCTGGGTACCCACTTACTCCCTCTCAGTCACCGCTGTAGACATCAGGCTTACACTGCACAGAATAGACTCCAACTCATGCGATCACACAATTATTCTGCACTGAAAAATGTTTTTTTATAAATTGTCAGAGAAGAATGTGATGGGTGAGTTTTCATTTAAATTTGAATCAAGAAACAGAGCCAGCAAACAGAATTAAATATTCTTTAAAGATCACAGACAGCTGGGCTGGAAATTAAAATATAAAGAGAATGCATTTTTAAATCGAGGGTATAAGACTCGTTCAGAATGATCTCAACCATGTCGCCCAGGGGGCCCAGGGAGCCACAGTACTCATCTGTATGAATAGCTGATGCTTGGGACATTCAAAGGAAGTAAATGCCAGGAAACAGGGGCATTAAGAAACTGAAAATAGAGTTATGAAGGTCTCATCTATCTGACATCAGATGCGGGATTAGGCAGGAATAGTCAGAGAGCTCTATGTACTACAGAAAACCACTTAAGCACATCTAAAAGCCCCAGCTGACTCTGGGATGTGTGTGTGTGTGTCCACAGACATGTATGTCTCCTTGGTAAATTTCAAAATATTTTTTCTTGACTTCTGCCTGTGCTATAGATAATACTTCGTGAAGCCTGAAGCCTGCAAAAGCCTAAATGCTGAATGCAACAGCAAGGTTATCAAACGGCATGTGCAGAAATAATTCAAACAGGATATTTAATTATTCCTTTGTAATTTATTCCCCCGCATCATAAATATTTGGATTCAAACTCTTAAAGCAACAAGAGCTCAGCACTCTCATTTGCAAACAGTTCACAATTTAAAGTGCCATAATTAATTTCCCATGTAGTTTGTTGTTGTAACAACAACTAAGGCTACCAGCCTTAATGGGAAAAGAGAGGAGAACATTCAGCTGTGTAAGCTACAGGAGTTCAAAAGGCTTTAAATTATATTTTGATAGCTTTTTAAAAGCTGTAAACTGTAGCAGTTCAGTAATCAGGATAGTATTTGTCTGACAACGATAGATAGTTCAATTTCTGCCACTCCAGATAATGGAATCAATCATGTCCTTTTGGAGATCTAACACCCACAATCATGGGCCACCTCCAAGACAGAGGTCTTCAGTAACCAGAGTTTCTGGTAAAAGCATTTGCCTTCCCTGGGACCCTTCATATCACCAGGTAATCATGTGGGTTTGGGAAAGTAACAGTCCAAATTCCAATTTCTAATGCCATGAATCAACCAGTTACATACAATAAGATACAATATTCAGAAAGCGTGCCTATCAGTTTTACACACACATACAGTCTTTCACAGGGGGTATGCATACTGTTTTCCAGTAGAAAAATTAGGTGTTTACAGAAGAGGAGAAAAAAAAAAGCAATCAACTTTTCTCCTAGAAGGTGTATTTCTTAACCTGATCACTACAGAGAGTTACAATGTATAAAGGAAGCAAGGAAAAAAACCAAGGCAAAACCATCTCCATAGCTAGGTAACATTGAATAATCGCTTCTACAAGCTGATAGATTCTCAAGACACAGTCGCACCCAAAGAAGACACACTGAAATTCTCTGCTTCGCCTGAGCAAAGGAAGTTGACTTCACTGAGGCACAGACCAGCTAACAGTCACCCTGCGGGGCGAGCTCCCAGTGGTGCAAGCTGAGTGCCAGCAGCTCTTGCCTCTGCCTTCTCCTCTCCCTGATGCAGGGGAAACCCTGGTGGAAGAAAGGCACCCGTGCAGAAAGGAGCTCCATCAACCCAATCTTCCTGGGGTTCAGTGGCTGAAGGTCCTTTCCGCGGCACCACCTTGAGCTGGGACAACCAGCACAGAACCAAAGCATAACTAACCTTTTAACTGAAGTCACTCTGGCCAATACTAGTTACAGGTCGACTGCATTTTTTACATGTCTTCAAACTGACGCACAAGGAATTCTTTCCTCACATACTGATGCAGTCGTCTCTCAGAACCAAACTTCAGCACAGCAAGTGCAACAATTTTTACCTTTTTGGTCTTTCAGTCTATCTTCTTGCATCCCAGAAGGACCAGCTTCATTTGGATCAGCATTTTCAGCAAACCAAAGAATAGTTACTTGCAGTCAATACTACTTCTGCCTGCAGGAGGACCCATGCAATACCTTACATATTTTGTCCTCAACCTTTGTCAAATCATTCTGATGAAAATTCAGACCAAAATGGGCACTTGGAAAAATATGTATATGCGTTCCTGTGTACAGACCTGAGTTCTGTAGCAGTAAGCTGAAAAGGAAGGCTATAAAGTACAACCAAAAATGGACTCTCAGAAGTCATGAAGTCAAAGGGTGCAATGCAAAGCCTGACTACTGGCTTCCACCTGTGTCCAGCACAGGAGTCAGGAAGAAGGACACGCATCTGAGATACTTGGTGGTGCCTGTGGTGTGTTGATTTAGGTGAAGGGGTCTGGAAAACAGTCTGGAACTCATTAGCCACACTTGGCCACCACATATCCGTAGCCATCCAAACTTTTCAGGAGGCGAAAGCCAAAGTTTTGGTGGATGTAGCACACTATAATCTTAATCCACCCTTGACAGCTAACAGAGCTCTAGGCTTGTGATGTTTTCAATATGATAAAATTAGATTTCATTAGTAATTCCATAATGCATGAGTTACCATTGCAAACCTCCAGTCTATCAAACTAAATTATGGAATAGTGCCAATAAGCTGGTGCAATGAAAACAAGCAAATGTATTTTCAGGGTTTAAACTGTTAAGAAAATAGATATTCAGTCAAAAAATAATCTGTATCAAGTTTGTTGTGTTTACTTGAAAAAACAAATTCTTCCTAGCAACTGCTTAAATGAATCTTACAGATGCAACATGCCTTATTAGAGGCCTTTGATTAAAAAAATATGGATTGTTAATACTGTATTCTGA